CTGTAAGTACAACTAAATAAGTTAATGAATTGTTTTTATTTCTAATACCGTTACTGCACATATGTATTTTTATGAACTGTGTCTGGATTAAAAAAATACTTATGCAACACATTCACTAATTTTGATTAACATTCAGATTCTTTGAAGTTAACATTGAAAACACTTTTCTCTTGCTTTTTTACTGGCACTGTTATTGTTATGTCATCTTATGACAGAGTCTTTATCCAGTTCACCATCAATATCAGCTTTGGTATTATGAATTAGCTTTTGCGATAACCAACTTACATTACTTGACACTTCTAGGCGTTAAAATTCACACAGCACTTGTGCAACCAATATACAGCACTGTTGATGTCTGCTTGCATCTTTCATAATCAGAGGAAAAATTGAGTGACGTCAATAACTCATGAATTTTTTAAGTGACACTGTGTTGAATGCTTTGGCAAAATCAATAAAAATTATATAAACCAGATGTCCACGGTAAACTGCTTCCTTTAAAATGTTACAAGATTCAATCAGGTTTTTGAGACAACCTTTGTGATGTATAAATCCATGTTGATACTTAGATATTAGATTATGCACAGTATTTCATAATCCTATTTGTGAGTTATCTCCGCTACCTTACACAGTATAGGTGAGAGAAACTAGGTCATAGTTATAAGTCTTGACTTTGATTCCTTTTTTGTGGGTAAGCGTGAAACTTATTTGTATTTAGATTTTAACACTCCTTAAGTCCTTAAACCTTATCAAATAAAGTTTATTAAGTCTTTTTATTTATTTTGCTATTTAAAATCGTGATTAAATTTTCTTTCAGAACAATCATTAAAGTATTTATTAGATTTTTTTCTGAAATAGCCTGTCAAATTTTCTAACAATAAAATGTTTGGATAAGATCTAGTGTTTACTTCAATGTCATCAATATAAAAAACAAGCCAAATTTTCTTTTTTGGTCTAGTTCCCTTCAACCAAAAAAAATAGATAAGTTATTTAAAATAATTTTTTGTCTTATGTCTTCTGATGCCCTTATATCATGGTGTCCAGGGCAGGTATGCCCCTTTTACTCCTCCCTCTTAGCAGCCCTGCTCATTGTCCTCAATCACATTAATTTGTTTTTTTAAATTTGGATTTCATTTAGAAGCAACATACTCCAGATGACATTGATACAAAAAGCATCTTAAAAGTCCAAATGTTAAGGTATTTAAAAGAGTTTTTATGCTGACTCGATATGCAAATTGGCATTGTTATAACAGAGTTGGTTTGTCAATCTCATTTTACTTCAAAGCTGATAATCACTTCTGAGTCTTTCTCAAACACTACTTTTGATAGTTAATGCTGATTTACCTGATAATTCAACTTTTAATTTTCAGGAAAATCAGGTAATTTAACAAAAAATCATAACTATTTTTAAAATTTTTATAAAGTTTCGCTTCTTTTGAGACCCAACATGACATACATTTGAAAAACTTTTTTTTCTTCTGTTTAGGGTCTCGTCGCAAGTTTCAGATTTGAGGTGGCCCCCCTAAATCTCATTCAATTTTATAAAAATTTAAAAGAGTGTCTTGTGAGTACCAATAGAAAGTTTTAAGAATAGGGACAGATCAATTTTTGAAAGTATGGGGCATTAGATGCACCCTAATATCTTTGCAATGACATTGCAAATGGTGGACGCTTGTTTCTAACGGATGATAATAACTTTTTAAAAAGAGGAAAAAAGAAAAATGTAAACATTTATAAATGAAACGAAAAATAAAATCAACTAAAAAAGAAGAATAAATAAATGTTTTAAAAGAAGAAAAGAAAAAGAAATATTTGAAAGGAAATAAGTAAAAAAGTAATGAAAATAGAAGTTAAAAAAAAACAACAACAACTAATGAATGAAATAAAAATGAATGGAAAAGAAAGAAAATAATAACTATTTCTATACATCGAAAAAAGATTGGCAAATCAAGATTTTTTTATTTTTTCATATATTTCTTTAGGTTTATTTCATATATTTCTTAGGATTCTTTATTTACGATTTATTTTTTAGTTTTGCTGTTATGCGGTCTTGTAGTAATGTTTTTTCTTTAGTTTTTAGCGTATTAAGTTTTACTTTATATATTTTGTTAGTCATTTATTGTTTTATTTTTTAGTTATTAATTATTTTTAAATAGTGATATATAATTTTTTTTACAGTTATATATTATTTGTTTTTATTTTCATTTTAGCTATTTAACATATATGTTTTATTCTACCATGTAATATTATATATTTTTCTTCTTTATTTGTTGTTGTTTTTAGTTTTTATTTTATGTTGTTGTTTTTTTATTGTTTTTTTTTTTTTGTTGTCAAAAATATTTAATGTAATTTTTTGTTTTGTTCTTAATGTTTGTTGTATCTTTTGTTTTGTTTTGATTTTTTAAGTGTTTTTCTGTTTACATTTTATTTAATTAGTTTCTGTTTACATTTTTATTTATTTATTATTTGCAATATATTTTGGTTATGATCAGTGCCGGATCAT